GGAAGTTGCAGTGGTCACCTGCCCTCAAGAAGCTCACAACTGAATGGAGGAGTTCAACACAGGGATACTTTAAAATGATTTGAAGGTACAAAGAGAGAGAGAGAGAGAGGGTGTCTGGTGAGATCGCAGGGGAAATGTACTTCAGGGCCCCTGAGAAGGCAGGGGAGTGTTCTTGCAGGAGGTAAGTACTGAGAATCTTAAGGGAGTTAGCCCACAGGAGAGGAGGGGAAAAGTAAATTCAGGCAGAGGGGACAGTGACAAGCCAAGTGTAGAGGGGAGAAACAGCACAGTGTATGCAAACTACAAGTAATTTGTTGTATTGGAGCATAAAGGTTGAGACAACAAAATCCAGAAAAGTTGCCCTATCCTTCATGAAAGAACTCATATCTTCTGGACAGATCTCCCTTCTAAGTGTATTTGTAACATTCACTTTGAGCTCTACTTATCTGGCTTCATCCATAAAATGTTAATGTTAGTTTTCCTTAAATCCTCTGCAATTTTTGATGCAATACTTTTAACCACAGAAGTATATTCAGTATGCACTTTCTAAACGAAATTGAGAACCATGCAAAATAAGGCAGAGGTTGCAAAAATATATGAACACTACAAATATATGTGAATAATAATATAATCTTCAGGTTATTAGAAGAAAACATTTCTGCATAACCAAGGAAACTTCCTAAGTGAAACCAGCACAGGATTTTCCAGTTTGTCTTCACTGTAGGGCTAGATCACTGAGGAGATGTATGGACCACTCTAGTAACACTTGACAGTACCTGTATTCGAGTGTAATTCTGAACAAATTGAGTAATTTTGCTCAATGAGGTCAAAGTCTTCATTAGCTTTTGTTTTTTCTTTTGGGGGAGGGGGATGTTTCACAAGGACTTCTTAGTAGTTTGTTGAATTGAAGTACAAATAATAATCCTCAAAATAAACTGCACATTTATGGAAGTCACTAATTTGCATTCTGCAAAACCAACTTTAGATTTTATGAGCAATATGGGGGAAAAAGTCTAGATTTCCTAAACAGCTGCTAAATCCTGGAATGTTTTTTAAAACACAATAGTTTGGAAGAAGATATTATTATTTTAATGTTTTATTAAAATATTTAATACTTAAGTTTAAAATTAAAAAGCAGTATTAAAAAAATTAAATAGATTTGAATTGTGTTTAGCATTTTATGAAAAACTGTACATCATAGCTCTCCAAACTTGTTTTTCTCTTTACAACATCTTGTCACCTTCATCTCCCTCATTTATTCTACTTTCTACCTTTTGCCCATGCTCATCTCTTGCCCTCCTTCCTCTCCTATCACATAGGTAAAGCATATCTCTGTGTCCAACCTACCTCACGTTAGCTTTAGTCCAGTGCAGACAAGCATATGGTCATCTGCAAAATCATATTCAATATCACCTTGCTTATTTCCTTACCCTTCACTTTTGTTGTTGCTGCTTATATTATCTTGAGGATAAGAAAAAGGAAAAAGTAGAATTCTTCTTCTCTGAATTAGCTTGAAAAGAATACACACACATACACATGTATCCACACACATGCACATGTATGCACATGCATGCACACACTCCTGAAGAAAAAAGATAGTTATGCTTCTTTTTCTTCTGATTTTCTTTAAAAGCCCAAATCAGAATATATTGTATATTAGAATTTCATTTATTTATCAAAATATAATTATTGTATTTTAATGTATATACAGAAAGCAAAGAAAAATTAAGAGGAAGCAAGAAATAAGCCATGTGGCTAATGCAGTGGAGAAAAAATGTAGTCAAATCTGTTGTTCTCTGAATTAACTGTTTCCTTGACTAGCCAATCACCTTTCTATAAATGCTCAATTTCCAATTCTCATGTTGTGTCAAAAAAAGTTTCATAAAATATATTATAGAGATGAATGTCAGTTACAGCCAGAAACATTTCTTTTGAATAAAAGTTTAAAAGTTGAACACAGATAGAACATGGTGACTGTTAAAATGCTATTTAAACAAACTACATCATTGAAGATAGTTTTTTTAAAAAAACAACAAAAATTGTAAAATTGCAAACAAAACAATGAATTTCTGTGCAAAACAAAACCAAGTTTTATTATAGTAATTGGAGAAAAGCAACTGTTATGCATACTTAAAGAAAAAAAATGTTAGAAATAGTGCAGTGACAAACTCCACTGTGGATCTTATTAGTCATGCAAATCCCATTATGTATATTCTAGTACGTAAGTCTTTTCCCCCCTGAGTTTATGTAATTTTGAAAAATTTTGAAATTCTGTGTAAATACATGCAGTTCTCTTTTGAAGTTTTCCCTTTCTTTGATTCCAAAGTTAATTATATTTGTATGTTGAATAATGGACTTTATAAAGTGTGTTCCAAATGAATATATAAAGGAATTGGAAAAAAGTACTAGTTATTGTCTGTTAATAAACTTGCTAGCCACACTTTTTTCTCCCTTTTTAAAGAGTAGGGATTATTTTATTTTAGATATTGCTAGTGAATCGTTTTAAGTCTTTCATCTAAATACAATGTTTTTGTACTCAGTGGGTATTCTATTATATATGTCTTATTCAATATTTTGATTTATGCAAGAAACTGTAAGTCCAATACCAGGAATTTAGTGTTAAAGGTTGATGAGCTCTGAACTTTTTTAACAAACAAGGACAGAGCAGTTTTGCCTGAATTGTACAGAGCATCTGCTGTGTGTGCAGAGGACTTCTGGCAGTCATTCCCCAAATGGGCAATAACTGAAATTATGAGTTCTTCACAGCTTTTTTTTTTTAAATTCATCTGTACTCAATTCAACAGTGACCCACAGATATTTTCCTACACTTATTTCTTTGTCGCAAAATCCAATGAACTCTTCATAGTATCATTTTCAAAGCTATCTTGTAAAATATAACTAAAGGGGTTTCAGTGTTCTCTGTTACATCAGAATAAAGTTCTTCTGTCTTATTTCGAAGCCTAGTTTTTAAAAAATGCACAGAAAGGTCAAATCCATTCCAAATAGAAATCTCATTCCCTAGAAATATTTGTTAAGATCTTGAATCACTCCTTATTGTCTTTTAAATTCTGTCATCTGCCTAGATTTAACTAAAATAAATTTTCTTTCTCATTGTGTTAGCGAAATGTATCCATTCAAAGTAGGAAAATCACAAAAGGAAAATGAAATTAATTCCAATATATATATTTGGTATTTTTAAGAGCTGCATTTCAGCATCTGGAGAGCCGCAAATTAATCTATTAAATCTACAGCCGAGAAGCTGGGGGAAATGTGAACATCGTTAGGAGGGTCAGTCCTAAACAAGTACATTTTCAGTCCTAACCTTCAAAGGTAACATTTTCAGCTTGATGGGCTCCTGGTCTAATATATGATTTGCCTCCTTCATTCTTAGCTTAGTTGAAATATAGAGGATTGGATGTCCACCAGGCCAAAGTATAAAACTCACCATTTATCTATTAAAGTCATATTTAATGAAAACGAAGAGAAATTATTACCCAACTCACTCTCTTTCTCATTACAATTCCTAAAGAACTTTGCCGGGCACATTATCTCGTAGACATCATGATCAAATGTTATTGTTTGCTTTATTATCTCAGTTGGATGGTTGGCTAGTCTAGAATGAAATAGGTTGAAGGCAATACTCTCAGCCTAGAAGTCTGAATGAGGTTCCCATTCAAATGATCCTGATTGTTTGGGGGTGGGGCGGGGTGATTAGTAAACCAACTGAGCTTACACTGCATAGTAAGCGTCTGGATGCAGCACATTTACATCTAACAAGAGACCCCAGAAAACGTGTGTGTGTTTCTTAAACCTTATGTTCCGAACAAAAGGCTATCTCAGCAACAGACAATCAGCACTGCATTGCTCCCTGGGATGCGAGCAACACACTCAACTGCACATTTCATTCTTCCTCAGCTCTCAGTACCACAAAGCCCCTACTCTCTTCCCACTCCTGGGTCCCCAGATCGCTCCATAGAGGGGGGTTGGGAAAGCAGCAGCCTAACGTCTATGCCTGCGCACCCGCCGCCGGTACCGAGGCCCCCCGGGCGCCGCTTTCCCCTGCCCGAGCCGCCTGGGGGAGGTAGGGAGGGGAGCCAGGGAGCGCGAGAGGGGACCGCACACCTAGACACTTAGGATTGTATTTATTCACAGGGAGACGGGGGAGGGGCACTGGGTTCAGGCGCATTTCCCCCCGAAGTTGCCTCTTCTTGGCAGATAAAGTCATTTTCTGGCCGATGCTGGGGGCGCAGGGGAGGGTGCGGGTGAGGTCCCGGCTCTCAGGGCCAGATCCTGTCCTGTTGGAGTCGTAGGCGGGTGGGGAAGGGTGGACGGGCCGCAGCTGTCGAGAGGGCCAGAGCCGGCAGGGAGGAGCCCCCGGGCCCGAGAGCGGCGCAGCCCCGTCCCGGGCCCTCCACGGCCGGCTGGGGAGCGCAAGGGCCGGCTGGTCACGCGTGGGAACGAAAGGCGCCTTCGCCCCGAGGCAGTGCTCCCCTCGCCCCAGGCTGGGCCGCTGAGAGGGCGGGCGGGGAGAGCTCCGAGTCCCCGCGCGCGTAGTCATGACCTCGGGGCCCCCTCCGGGCCGCGTGAGCGAGCGCGTCGCCGAGGCTGGGCCACCGCCGCGGCCCCGGCCGTGTAACATGACCCGAGCGGCCGGCCGGCCGCGCGGCGCGGCCATTGAGCCCTCCCTGCCCATGAATCTCTGGCGCGTCTCTAGCTCGCTCGCCCGCTCGCCTCCCGCCTCCCTGCTCCCCCTCCAGCTCCGCGGGCTCCGTGCGCCTCTCCCTCTCCCTCCCGGTCTTCCCGCTGCCCGTCTCTCTCCACTGCCCGCCTCTCGCCACTGCCTCCCGTCTTCTCTCCCTCACGGCAGCCTCCGTCTCTTTCTCCCTCTCTCCTTTGAAAACTGATCTTTGGCTCTTAGTGTGAAAGTGATTTGAATTTGGCTCGGCGGCGCTCTGCGCCTGCGCCCAGCCTCTGGCATGCTGGCTCCTTCCAAGCAGCTGTTTTGGGTTTGAAATTCCAACATGGCAGAGGCTGCAGTCCGTCTTCCCTTCAAAAACTTGGAATGATTTCAAATCATAGGCACCTTCACTTAACCCTAGCTTCCATTCATCAGCAAACACATCGGATCGATGCTACGCTAACCTATCGGGTTCTCGCTCCGCGCGTTCAGGTAAGAGGAGCTTCGTAGTTTTCTACCATCTGTTTAAATTTGTTTGTGTTTTTGTTTTATTTTTAAAGAATATAAATAGATCCAAGACCTGTAATAAGAAGAGATCTTCGAGTTGTGCCGTAAACATTAAATTTAATTTGCACTCGTTTCTATCCTATACGCCAACCTGCTGTCTAATTTCTGTGTAGAAAGTAACCCTGAAACATTATAAGGCATATTTTTGCTGCTTAATCATTGTAACAATAGTATGGGATTAAGAGTTCGCGATTGCAAAAACCTCGTTTTGCGCTATATTGGACTTACTTGTTACTATCTTTTTACTTTAAAAATAAAAAAAAATAAAAAGAAAGCGGAGCCATAGGGTGGGGCTAGACTTTCTTCGGGAACTAACTTCTAAGTAAATAAGAAGTGTAAATAAGAATCTTGCACACACACAAAAAGTTGAGGTTAAATTACAATCTCATGGCTGGGGGAACGAGAAAATGTCAGAAGATCGGTTGCAGAAAAATGTAAGCACATCATCTTGGAGGGGGTACAGCGTGGTGGGCGTATTGTTGGCAAGGAACGGGAGAGAAAGATGTATAATTTAATGGTATATACAATCCACTGATCCTATTACCGTCCTCCCCGGAGCTCTTGTTAGTTTCAATGGGAGTGAGTGAAATTGACATGGACTTGCATTCCTAGTCATGTGCTTTTTTTCCTTTCTTTCTTCTCCTGTGATCTGAGATCCCCTTTTTGTTGATGTTGCTTTCCCCCTTAATTATATGCATGTAGGTTAAATGAATACCTGACGAAAGGGCCCACGTTTCAAGGCAGTGACATTTGATAGCTGAGAGGAAAAGTGGCTTTAATGAAAAGCAACCTTTGGAATTCCTGCTTGTGAGAAATCCAATTCAGCTTTTTGTGCTGCCAGCAAGAAATGATCAGTAGCACCAGTGTTTATGGTATGTCAGTTTTGGAATTTACTTCCTTTGCATCTAAATAGGAAAGACAAATTAAATAGCATGATAAAATCACTGAAGACCTCTTGGGAAGCAGATGCTCATAATATATAATTCATTTTTAAAAATATACATGTTTGTTTTAATCTGTCACCATGCTTTTTTTTTCTTTTGCTATCACTTGTTTATATATCCACTTTTGATTAATATATTACTTGAGTCCACTTTTATCGGATTTAGCTGTAATCCTGAAGTTGCATGTTACTAGTAATGCAGTATATAACCGCTGAAGTCAAATGGTATGTAAATTAGTTAAACTCAGTGTGGGTTTTTTTGGGTGGGGGCTGGGTAGACAGGGGAGAGGGCGGGAGAGTGGGGAAAGATTGCTAACTATGAAAGTATATATATATGTACACACACACAGGACTGAATGAAAATTTCTTTTTTTCTTATCTATTAATGCAGTTTGACTGTCTGCCCTCTCGATGACTGCACTTTGTGAAGTAGTCCGTTCTTCTGAGTGTTTTTTTGGGGGGTGGGGGGGTGGGGGTGAGTGAGTGAAGGGGTATCTTTTACTTGAATATAAAATATATTTTTTGATTGCTCAAAGTCTTTAATGTGCTTTAAGGAACAGTGGTAGTTTTTTTCCCCCTTGCCATTCACTTGTCTCTGCATGTCAGCGCTTTTTACTTTTAACCTGTGACAGAATTAAATAATCAGGCACTGAAATTGACTTCGTTTGAAATCACTCTTTACTCTTTCTTTACAAAAAGAAAAAAAAAACAGTCAGTTAAATGGAGTGAGAGGGGGTTTTCAATAGCTCTTGTGGCAGTGCTGTGTGTACACTTTGCTATATTCAATTAAGACTGAGAGGGAACAACAAAAAAAGATGTTAAAGTATTTTGCATAACCACGAGATATGTTCACCTTAAACTGCTTTTTTTTTGTTGTTGTTTTTACATTTACCCCACAATTGTGAATTCCTCCTGAAAAGACAGAGGCAAGGAAGGAGAAAATATGAAAAAAGAAAAGAAAAGAAAAGAAATAACAGTGGGGCAAAGCTGATAGAGGTCTATAGTGTGGCCGTGGTCACTGGTCTCTCGTAACACAAATGTGAATACAAGGAAAGGGACTACAAGACTCGTTGCGCGACATACACTTCTGGTCGGACTCTGGTGACTATTGAGCTAAACACTCACCGCTCTTACATGATAGGAAGGATTTGATTGAATTTTGCATTTGGAACTTGTTGACTTTGAAGCGATCAATAAGAAGACTGTTTATTTTAGATGCACATAATTTGCCCTGAGAAATGTTTTAAGGAGGAGAGAGCACAGCTTTTTTTCCCCCGGAGCTGTTGAAGCGAATGGGATTGCCAGATGGGCGATTTCCCTCTGTGATGTTAAAGCTGTAATATATATTCAGAGCAGATTGGGCTGCTGCCTGTGATGAGGAGGATATTACATTTATAAATTTTAAATCGGAACTCGGACAATGTGCTGAGAGCAGAAATTGGATGGTTTGACTGTTCACCGTATTGATACTTAAATGTGATTTCTTGGTAGTAGTAATAATCATTGCAATAATATGTAAACACTTTGGCATCGGCAATCTTATAATTCATTACATTTAACAGCAGATTTAAGTAAATTGCTCCCCTCCCCCAGTCTCTTCCTACTATTAAATAATAGTCACATAATTTATTTCCCTGTGTGTTTAAATGCCCGATGTGCAAGTGATGTTCACTTTGGAGGCTTGTTATCATACACTAGGATCCTGGGGTGGGGGGTTATATACATATAAAGTAGACACTTGTGTATATGCATAAAATGGCATTAGTGGCTTCTGTTTTCTAATTCTATTACTCTGATTATTTTTAGATTATGTCTAAATATATGTCTCAAATGTGTGGCCTAAAGGAGCCAGAGCTACAAACCTAAAAGGCAAGAAAGTGGGCAAGTGCTCGCACTCTGGCAGCTCTGCTGTTGCAAATTAAAAGTGTGTTGTGGTCAGGAAATGAAAGCTACAATGTCTCTTTTGAACAAGTCGTTTATCAAGAGAAACATCTATCAGGGACTGCCTTGTCACATTGATCCTCTAAAAGTTAGGTCCGAGGTGGAAGCTGCTTTGATGTTTTTGATCCTAAATTTAATACAACAGGGAAAAAGAAAACAACACACTCACACAAGGATATTTTGACCAGTATAGATTTAAAAAAATGTTTCCTGGTACCAGCAAGATCTATTTATTAGTATTGTACTATGTGTGAAGTTTTATGGACATAACAGTTGAAAGGTTGAAGGGGAAATGCAGCCTTTACAAACTAGTGATTGTTAAAATATACATGTATAATGCATTCAGCTATGGCTGGCTTCTTAGTTCACATGGACATTTTGAAAATAGATTGTTCAAAAGGAATATTATTTTGAAAGAGGAGTTTGGAAGAATATGCAGAGAGTCAGGGTTTTTCATTCATTCGAATTTTAGAGTTATCCTCTTCCTTTCTTTCTTTTACTCTTTTACTCCTGTTTCCTATCTTTATTATATTTGTGACAAATGAGCTTTTATTTGGGAAAGAAACATTTTTTTCTATAAAAACCATGTCCTAAAACATGCTTTCACACATCATCTGTATTGTTTATTAATTGTGCATGTGGATGGTTATCAATATCAACTACATGGACTCACAAGTCCTTTGGAATTTCAGCTTAAAAATAGGGGTATCAGATTAAACATGCATGTATTCTTGAATACTGAATATAGTGTACATGTTATTCAAAATTTAAAAGGAATTGTTACAAAAGTGACCAAGTTAAAAAAAAAAAACTATTTGTGAAAGAAGTTAAAAGCAGTCTGCTTCATTTTTGGAGGCGAAGATATAAAAGAAGTGTTCCTTCTTTGACATGGAGTTTTTGGATACTTGTTTTATACTGCTTGGTGGCTACTTGTTATTTCATGTGGGCTTGTCATCAAATAAGCAATGAAGAGTGTGGTGGGAGTTTTGAGAAGTGTAATACTTCCTAATTAATCATGTCTGAAATGAAAGAATCATAGCAGGGTAATAAAATCTCATTGTTTTCCTGGAAGAGGGTGAGACTTCTGTTTGGAAGCTGTATGTGTGAGTTGACTTGATTTTCTCTTCTAAAAAAACAGTTTATAAGGTCTCTTTGGAATTATTTCAAGAAACATCTTTTTTTGGAAAACAATATTTTTTTTCTTCTGACTGTACCGAATCAGTGAGTTTCTTAAAACTATATCTGCAATCTTCTGAGTGAAAACATAGGGTTTTATTCTTTAGTTATATTTAAGACTTATGCAGCTGAGTTTCCAGTTCTGTTTTTTTTTTTTTTCCATGCCCCCCAAACATCGAAAATCTTTTTTTGTTGTTGTTTTTACTCATGTTAGGTAGGAACTTTGAAAAGCATTTTGTAGGCAGGTACTTTTCTGATAGACATACAAGAGAACAGAAATTTCAATAATTACTTTTAGATAATAGAAGAGTATGACCAGAGGGAAGAAAAGAAGTAGTATATTCAAGAATCTAGAGACAATCCGTATTATTACTTGACATTTCTAAGATAGTTTAAAATATAAGCCATCTGAAAAGATAAATTAGTAACTTCATTGTAGGTAAATTTTCTTCCTTGAACTTCAGGTTTCACCTTTTAGAATTTAATGTTTAGTTTATGCATAGGGACAGATCCAGAAAGTTGGGGTGTCTGTAATGTTTTTCAGAATTTTCATCTCAAAGTGCAGATGACTATGCTAATACTTCCTTATTTTTGTCTGTGTGAGTGTTTGGATGCCTTGAGTGATTGCCTAATTAAGTAATCAGTTTTAATGGTCCAAAATCAGCAGAAATGACGAGGTGTATTTGGAACAATTGCAGGCTTTTATGTTTTGAACTTTCTTAATTTGTTCTTAGAACCTTGATTTAATAGAAATGTTTGCTGTTTTACCTTTGATTAATATATTCTTGAGTACAAATTTTACATAGTAGTACTTTTTACAGAGTGCTACCTTCGTTGTTAAAGAACTAATAAATTTAATTACCAGGAATTTAAATTGATTTCTAAATTTTTGATTGGAAAAAATTATTTTGTTGACATTTATGTGAAATATTGACATATGCTACTGATCGATAAGACTTGATTAATCAGCATATCTGCTTTTTATTCCTGAGTCATTGATAAATCAGAATAAACAAATAGTGCAGAAAATGATACAATTTTTTCCCTGGATTAAAAAACCAAAATGATGACTCTTCCTTTTGGGATAAATAAGACCTAATATTTATTAAAATCAGTTGAACTTAGAAATTATTTTGGGGTACCACCTGGAAGACTGCAAGTCCAAAAACTATTCCACCTTTCAATTAACACACACACACACACACACACAGAGGATTATATATAAATTTCTGTTTATTAAAAATTAAAGGCTTAAAAAAAAAAAGACTGCAAATAAATGGCCTGTGTAGCAATTAGTGTTTATGGTTGGATTTTGCAGTTTTCCTCCTTTTTTCTAAACTTGAATTTTTAGCATTAACTTTTTCATTTAGGTACTAGTAGAAATTTCAAGCATAGCTGCTTTGACATGATTGCTGATTACTGATTTATATATATGTATATGTATTTGATGTTATTTAAATGGCAATTTTACTTGAGGGATGTTTACTAAAAGAAATGCAGATAATAAAAGTAAGGAGTAGGCAAGAATGCATTATATTGTACTGATCAAAATAAATTGTACTGATAAGTTTGAAGCAAATCAAAAGCAGGTGGGTATGCTGTTTCCTTAGGGCAGCACCACAGGTGCTGCTCAGAAGCTCTGCCTCGGGATAGCACATCCTTACAGGACCTGTTGACAAGAGTAGTCTCAGCTAAGACAGTGAAGAGGCAGAAGAGATACGTAATCAGAAACCATCAAAACATGAGATATCATATGGCACTTTCTGTTAATAATATTTATATTTTTTATGCAACAAATTTGCTTGTTGTCTT